TCCTTGTATTGATTCAATCTTGTTTAATGTTGTTGAACTCACTTTTGTGAGGACCTCTTCTCTCACTATAGAAACCTAGGATTTAGCCTTAGGATTTCCTAGTGACTTTCTTAGATGACTAGAGAAGGAACTCACCCATATAGAACTTTGAACCAATCCTACACTCACTTGTGGTTTCCTGAGGTTAAGCCCAAATCCTCAACCCTTGGTTGAGATGGTTGAGAGTCTATCCTAGTGGAAGCCCAAGTTGAACTTCCTATAGGTTGGGAATGCCCTAGGAATTCTCCTAACTCATTGACCTAAGAAAAGCCCATCGCAACGGAGGTTGGGCCTAAGCCAATGAGGCGTTTTTTATCTCTGACCATATTACCCTAAAAGCTCAAGAAATCCCATGACATTAAAATTCAAACCCAACGGGGAGAGGTGAGGCTTCGAAGTCAAACTGTGGTCTCACCTGAATCTTTCTCACCACCAATCCACCCTAGAATCAACATAAACCCTAAACATATAAACTTAAACCCTAAATTTTGGAATCACCAAGATTCATAGAGCGAATTAGTGAACAACTAAACTCCTCAAAACAAAATCAAAATCAATTCAAAACATTAAGGTCAAAGACACTTAAACATCAAAATTAAATTATGAAGGCTCACTAAGCTTAATCCTTTTGGGCCAACCCTAATCATCTAAGACTAAGCTTAACTAGAAAAGCTCAAGCCATCATGGGAGAGCCCATGACACATCCCTCATGGCCCATTCTCCATGGGTCAACCATAATTCACATGACCCACATAACCTACGATGACACTGCAACCTAAACATGATTTAATTAAAATAAAATTAAACATAAAACAAACAGAAAAAAAAAACCATGCACACTTAAACAAGGTGACTAACATTTGGCATCTATGTCCAACTCACCCATGTTCAAATCTTGGGGAGCCAAACTCAGCTCAAGGGTGAGCCAAACCGGACCAATTCAGGTCCTAGCCACCCTTGAACTTCCAACTTAATTTAGCTTAGTGTGATTAGTTTAAACCTTTTGCTTAACTTAGTTTAGTTTACTTATATAAATTGTTAACTTAAAAGTTCATTAGAAGTTTAGTAAAATTCGTAGCTCACTTAAAATCAAACCTATTTCCTAGGTAAGGCTTCCTAGATTCAGCTAGAGCCTATTTCAAGTCTGTTAAATTTACAAACTTCCATATGGGTACTTGAGACATAAAGAAAGCTCTATATTATTTGAGTGATACTTTCACTTGTGTTTATACCTAGTGTGAAGTGATTAGAAGTGAAAAATTAAGTGGTTTAAATTATAAAACATAAATTATAATATCTAAACCATAAATATCTAGGTATATCGTAGAGTAACTAGCGATTAGAAATTCTACATATAAAAGAAAACTACACATGGAATTATTACACATAGTGAAGATTGTATACACATGGAATTCCTAAATATAAAAGCAACTACACAAGGAAATACTACATATGTTGGTTGCATACACATTGAAATCCTACTTATGAAAGCCAACTACACATGGAATGAAATTAAACATACTTAAGATTACATATACATGAAAATCCTGCATAAGAAGGTTGCATGCACATGGAAATCATACATATGAAAGCAAACCACACATGGAAGTAACTTCACTTCATATAAACTAAATGTAAGGAATTAATTTACTCAAACAGATGAAATGTGCAAACGAACTTCACATATGGAGATCACCTAAACAAAATTCTCATGAGTCAAACTTCACATAAGGAAACCACATTAAAAAAAAATCATGAAGAAAGAACAAGAATATAATGTTATTAGAGGTTTAGTTATGATAAGAAGAAGAGGAATACGGTGGTTGTGAAAAGGTTTGGTTAGGAGGAGGAGGAAGACAGTGGTGTTGAGAAGAAAAGAAGAAGAAGAGAAGAATAAGAAAAAGGAGAAGAAGAAGAAAAGAAGAAGTGTAGTGCAATATGAAGTATGAAGAACAGAAGAAGAAGAAGATGATGATGTGATGATGAGAAGAAGCATGTAGTGTAGTATAGTGGAAAGAAGAGGAAGAAGTATAGTGTAGTTGGAGGAAGAGAAGAATGAGTGTAGTGTAGTGGGTAGAAGAGAAGAAGAATTGTAGTGTAGTGGTGAGAAGAGGAGGAGGAGAAGAAAGAGAAGAAGAAGAAGAAAAGAAGAAGAGAAGAAGTGTAGTGTATTGGGCATAAGAGGAGAAAAATAATGAGAAGAAGAAATTACAATGAAGTCAAAGAACACTTGAGAAGAAAAACAACCAAGAGAGCACCAGAGTTTGAGACTAAATGAAGTAGAAGAGAGGAGCATTCTTTGTGATTTTTGTGTGTATGTCTTACAAATGAGATTTTTAGACTCTTTTTAATGCCATTGAATGAAAAGGGGAAAAGGTGAGGGGTTATGGCCTCAAAAATGATCATGAAGAGGAAGAAAAGACTGGTAGCAAAGCTACACTACCTTTATAATATAATTATGATGCTCTCTCAGGTAGAGTGGCATAATTAAGCCACAAGATAGCATGGCTACATCATCCAAGGCCCATAGGTGCCACCCGGAGTGGTGTCAAATAAGTGGTGTAATTACGCTACTACTGGCATAACTACGCTGACAGTGGCATAGCAACGCTGACCAGGGAACTTTGGGGGTTTAAATTCTATTAAGCTTCTAGTAAGATCAGATTGAAAGAATGTGAGGTAAACAAATGGACTATTCAAAGTACAACTCTACTCCCAATCTCACAATGGAGCAGCATCGAGTCAGATGACTCTCCCGCTTCCTTCAGTCCCTCCACCCTTTGTTTTTATATGGGTCACCTTTTAGACTCATTTCTCTCCCTTCGGTTGGCTCCCTCCATTCGATCACTTTGTGTTGACCGATCAAACTCCTCCCTCCAACCTCTTTACTTTTTCTGAGCGGCCTTCTCGCTCAAACCTCTTTGCTAGGCCGACCCACATCCCCTTGTTTCTTCTTTACTATGCAGCATCTACTCTTTGATTTTCTTTTTTCCCTTTGCTTCCTTGGGAGGGAAGAATTTTCAATCAAAAGTCTGAAGGCCTTCATCATGGCCACCTTATTTATAGATGGCTTTCTACTACTCGCCATAACTCTCACCTGTTAACAACAATGAAGGGCAAGAAATTTAGAAAGAGTTATGGAGAAGTGTTGATCACACTCAATATATATGGACTATGGGCATGGAAATCTTGGAAGCTCAATTAATAAAAGTATTTTTTACATAATAATTAATTCATTTTTTGCATTTAATTCCTTATTCTTATCGCAGTTGTCGCTTTCAAGAAGTAAGAGAATCAGAAAACTAAATATGTACATAAAAATAAGATCACGCAAACCTTAAGGAAATCCAATGGGTCACACTTACGAACACCAAAAGATAGTGTATCTGGGTAGTCAAAAGACGGAAACGCCAAGCATCATTTCCGTTAGTTGAAACTCTGAGCCGACCGAGTGGAAGCAAGGCCGAACGAATGACTAGAAGGCACCCAACCAAAGGAACAGTCATTCATGATCAGTTCCCCTAGCTGATCACAAAATTCTTCAAAGAGTTGGCCAAAGGGCCCCACACAACTCCTTTATATTCCTCTGAAAAGGCTTCTTGTCCAAGGAGACCAGCCCGTCCGATTATGATTATCACCCTCTACCTGACGGCCTAAGTTCACCCTAACAATAGGAGGGCATCTACTTAAGATTCCGTTTAGAGAGCCAGTCGGTGACCTTTTCAACCGACCGAATGTATGCAGGTTGACCAAAGGTTTTCAGTCAACCGAATGATTAGACTAACGGGTCATTAAATGCTCCTCTTCTAATAGTTATGAATACGAAATGGTGTTAATGTTAGTTATGAATATGAAAGAGTGTCGGAATCGGTTACAAATGATAATAATTTATAATGTCCCTATTAAAACAGAGATATACATGAACTTTACACTAAATACCCCTGAACCTATAAGTAGGGGTCATTTCTTCAATAAAGGACTACTGAACTTACTGTATCAAACCTAATATTAATGTGCACTTCTCTATTTCTCTCTCCTTAAGTGTGTTTCTCTCGTCCGTCCTATGATCTATACCTTAGGTGTGATCCATAAGGCATATATATATATGAT